TCATTGGCCAAATCACAGAATGCGGTGATTATTTCTTCATCAAATGAGCCCTGAAAAAGAAGTTTCAAATTTGGGGAAAATGGGGCTATGAGGTCATTAACTGTCCCTCTCTCCCTCAGCCCTAACCTGGCTACCATTTCATCCATGCTCTTCCTTTGAGGACTATCCCAACTCTATTTTCTTTGTTCAGCAAGATAGGCTCAAAATATGGATGGGTTGTATATGAGTATATTTAATATAAAAGGATTCACTCATGTTTATTTACCAGCAATTCAACTTCCTATTAGAAGATAAAGAGCTAGAAAAGTAAATAAAATCAATATTCAGTTTTATGCTTTTTCCATAAACTTTATGGACTCTAAAAGACTATTAGATTTATATTTTCAATATGCTTAGGAAAGAACAAATATGATTCATGCATTTTGATAAACAAAGAAAAGAAGGAATATAGTTAAATACAATATGAACCAATTGCATATTTCATCAAACTAAACGAGTGTCAATGTATAATTTTATATGTATGTTTGTATCAATCTCTTCCATCACTTTTAAATTAATAAGAGATGATGCAGCATTATGCAAATGTTTGGATTTGAAACTATAGGATTGTAGAACTGAACCCTAGCTTGAGTATTTATTGGATGTGTACTTAGGAAAAATTATTTGTGAAACCAATATGCACCATTATACAAATTGGAGTTTGGAGAAGGGAAAAGAATCTCACTAAAATGATTTCATTTTTTAAATTAACCATTTAGTTCACTGACATTCTTATCAGAGCCATACCTTTAGTTGCTTCTAAAATAGAAAGAACCAGTATATAACTGATACAACAACAAAGAAAAGGGGAGATTGGAAGACTTCTTTCGAAGTTTTACCACCAGACCACCATGGAGAATATATTTTCCAAGACCTTCAAAGCATGGTACACAATAGAGAAGCTGGAATTTGGGAGAAGGCAAACAAGGAAGCCATTAGCATGTACTTTAAAACCTCTGGCACCAGAAGGAGAATGGAAAATCTTTACCCAAAGGGCCAAGTTGGATTTCTGGTAAGCACACAGCTGGTCCCAGGTAATGAGAAGAAAGCATATCCGGAATTTATTGGGTAGCTAATAACCAGGCTATGATTGGTCACTGAGTAAACTGACACTCAGGGAGGAGGGCCCTTAGATTTGTCTTTTTATGCAGTAATAAAAACAATGCCTACCATTTATTTTGTAAGAGATGCACCCTGTGAGAGAGACACGTTGAAAACCACAGATATAAGATAACATGGTTCTGGATTCGGCATATCACTGCACCTCTCTCCCCTTTTCCACTCTCGTCCCCAGAAACAGCGCCATATCACGAGAAAGGTAAGGGAAGTGTGGGATTTGAAATGCCCTTTCACCTTGGTGTGGACAGGAGAGACACCTTATAAATAAAAGCATAAAGTTTTTTAGCAACCGAATTTTATTTTGTGGAGCTTCAAGTTAATTTCGGAATCATGAAAGTGAACTTCAGGCCATCCTTGACATTTATGTTTTTGTTTTTCTAGTTTTGTACATGTGAAGTAGTTCAACATAGAATCTTGCCAGGGGCTTTAATCAAGCACTTTTAGGAACTTTCCAGAACTGATCTTTGCTGCCATTGCAAAACCAGGGCACAAAAACAGTCCTCTGGCATGCCTCTGCTTCATAAGCAGTTTATTCACAGATTCTGTGAATGCCCTGGAAATAATTTGGGTCGGCTTGGCATCATGCCATTATCTAAAATATCCAGGTGATTCTCTTTAAGGTCTCATTGCCTATCTTGTTTCTTCTTGTGTTGTTCTTTTTATTTTTATAATGCTCTAATCGCTAGATTATACATGTATAAACACGTCATCTTCTAGTTTATAGACAATTCAGTTAAGAATTCAACTGCAGTTTTGTAAATAAGCCAGTCTTTTATATAAAATAAATAAATGTAGAATGTACTATTCATTGTTTTCACAATTTTCTATGCTTATCTAAGTGTGACTTGCTGCCTATGCCAACCTATTTAGGTATAGTTAATTTCCTATCAGAGAATAACGATTCGAAATCATAATTTGTGCAGTGATAAATCAATTACAAAAAGACTACTAGGTGTTTTTGTTTTTGTTCTTTATCTTGGGGTTATTCTAGACTTTTAGTTCTTATGTTAGAATATTTTTTTAGCTTTAGAGGGTAACGTGTACAAGTTAGATTGTTGATGGGTTGGCAAACTCTGAGAAGAGTTGGAATTTCTTTTCTGACAACACTTGGTGAACAGTATGTGTATCATGAAGTGAGTAGAGAGTGAATGGGTAAGAGGGGGAGGTGGCATTTGTCAAAGCACAGTTTTCCCTGGAGTCTGCATGCTGTTTCCCATCAGTGCTTAAAACCAGCAGGGTTTTTAGAACTCGTTGCAGTATCACAGATGTTTCAAGCCATTAACATATGATTTGAATACCATCGTGGTAGGATTTGCTACAGATATAGTTTCCATTTGAAAACTTGAAATTAAATGTCTCTCCATTAACCCACCACTGTAATATTTATCTGTCCCTGGAAAAACCCAAAGATTGAGCTTGCTACACTTTGTACTCAAGCACAAGAGAGGTGACAAGGTTTGACATGTGTCAGTCCCTCCCACACCAAGTGTGTGAGAGGATTCCCTGGGAAATTGTTAGCTGGGTACTACATCTATTTGTGAAGTGGATGATAAACTATTGTTCCTCTTGTTTCATGATCACTAGGGAGATGAATGCAATTTGCACAGTGCAATGGTAATAACCAATGTGACATTTTCAAAGGAATCTAATCATGGAATCTAAATATGCATACCCAGGTCCTCTGCTAGGAGTTTTTTTTTTTTTTTTTCCTTTGAAAAAGTGCTCTTTGAATAGACAAACACATTGTGTACCTTCAGATAGGTAAATATTACACTTTTAAACATATGGTTCATGGAGCACTATTTCTGCAAGTTACTTTGGAATACTTCAAAGCCTTGTTAGGTGACCATACAATGTATCATGAAACTTTTAAGAATAGAAGACACCATTAAGAATTTCACAGAAACAAGAATGTTAAAATGGTATCATCCCGGGCAAGACAGGAATTACAGTCAGTCTACATGTAACAGATTTTAAAAATTGATAACACTATAAACTATTTTTGGAGGCAATAAAAATCATATATTACTAGAAAGCTATAAATTCATGGTGATCTGATGAACAGAGGTGAAATCTCAATTCTGCATTTATGGGGATCCCATTAGGAAAGTATTATAGTATGAATATCTCCTTCTATGAGCTGTAAAGAATTTCATTGGGATTTCAGACCGGAGTCTATATATTTAGGATCATTAATGAGGTGAGACCTTTCTACTCTCTTCACTGTCATTGGTGACTGGCTATTATTATAAAAACTTGTGGGTATTTTCTGTCTCAAAGCATTTTATTTTCAGAGATCTGTATGCTAGATTATTCCAAGAAGAAAAAAAAAAATTCAGGAAATTGTATTCACACACAAAAAAGATGCTTTACAACTACTTTTTAAAAAGTATATGTTGTTGTTTTTTCAATTTATGTTGACATGGGAGAACTTGACATTTTAATGTGACTTAACACTAAGAAATGCTGCCTACAAAATAGCTAGAGGACGTGTGCTGTTTCTACAAGTCACTTAGCATCAAGAAGGGCAGCATGTGTATCCTGACCTAGCTTTATTAATTTGCCTTGAGACCAGCCAAGAGAGAGTGGACTTGAAGGAGATAAAAATTTCCTTTCCCGGAGTCATTATAGATTAAGGGACATGTTGAGTCTGGATGAGACCAAAGAAATTGTATGATAATCAAGGTGCAGAGCAGCCATTGGGTTTGCTAATGCTCAAGAAGAAGAATAACATGCAAATGTGACGGGTGGAAATAGTGGAAGATGACCATCTAAAAGGGAGACTAGGAGTCCCTGATAATCGAGTTGGGGGCGTCAGAATTATCCATTGGTTTGATGTAATAGAAGTTAGGGAATAGAATAGAGAGAAGCTGAAATAATCTATATGAGATGAAATGCTTGGGCCAGGAAAGTGGAACATGTTGCTAAGAGCCTAGAACAAGAATGTTAATTTATACTGTTCCTTTTGGAACATTTGAGAAGATGCTAACAATTTACAACGCAGGTAGCTGCAAGGACAGCGGTTTTGATCTAACGCAGAGGTATGGTTCTGAAACCCAGACAGCAAAGGACTTTTTATTTCTAAGGCCAAAAATCATACTAAGGGAATCTGTTGAACTTCAAACTAGAAATTGTTTTTATAATTACTCTTTCATTTTATCTCCAAAGAAAAATGTATTCTTTCCAGTCACCAAAGCTGACATTCATTCAATTTTTAAAAAGGCATTTTGTTATTGCAATGTGCCAGGCATTGTGTGTCCCTCGAGGTTCATTCAGATCCTCTTCCTGAGTTTCTTATCTCTGTCATCTCTACATCTCTTTTTTATGTGAGCTTTTTGTCTTTCTTCCAACTTGTGTATGTTTTTCATAGTGACTGATTCTTCACATGTCTGGCCACGTGTTTAAGTAAACTTTGATTTCATTTAGGGAATTTCATGTTCATTAAATGAATACTTACTGAGTACACACTTTGTTCCAGGTACTAGAGATATAGTTAGGAGCAAATAAACGCTGTTTCTCCCCTCATAGAGTTCACAGTCTAATTGAACCACCAGATTAATTAACTAACTACATAAACCAATGCCATAGTACAATGGTCTTCATCTCCCTCAAGGTGTGATACTATGAGCACCTATAACATGAGGTGAGGGCTGAAGGAAGATATGACCTCAATGACTGAAGAAAGGATAAAATAAACTTATCAGAAAGGCCTCTTCCACACACGGATATATGTGACCGAGTATGGAGAACATAAAGAATGAACAGAAAGCAGATGAGATGTGTAAGAGAGGCCACAAAGGTAAACAGGAGACGGTGCATTTAGGACTTAAAAACCTCTGGTCAAGACTATACTTTCAGGGATCATTTCTATAGTTCGGTACTAAAGAAGTTTCTCGGAATGTATAGAACACCCGAAACCATGAGGAGGAGGTGCAGTGTTTTCTCATGCACGCGAAGCCGGCTTCTGGTGTTGCTTATGCCTTTAGCCACTGATGATTGTTCTTCTCTCCCTGGGGGAGTAAAGGGAGAAAACGCAGTCTGGGTGGTTTATGTGAAGAAAAGAGCCCTGGCCGGTTTGGCTCAGTGGTTGGAGCGTCTGAAACCTCTGGAAATACTTTGTTAACTTTTAAACATAAGATTAAAGGAAACCATTGAGTCATTGTATACAGACAAGGTGACTAAATTTGTATTTTGAGAAAAAAAGTCACCATGATTACCATATGTAAATTGCATTGGACAGCGTGGCAGATGGGTGGGACAAAGGCAGGACGAGGAGGAGGCTCTGTACTGCACCCGGGCTGAGAGATGATATTAGCTTGGACCCAGATAGAAGTGCAGCATTGGAGTGCAGCAGAAGTAACACAGAGATAATTAGCAGGAAAATCAAAAGTCTTGTGAATGGATTTATACGGGCATTGATAGAAAAGGAGGTGCCAGGGATGCATCCGGTTGCTGTCTTCTTGGGTTGTGCTGTTTAGTGGAATAAGGACCTCTGGAAGGGACACTTTGTGGTGAGATAAAACTCGAAGTTTAAATACGCTTTTAAATTTCTTTTAAATAGTCCAAAAAGAGATATCAAATAAAGAGTTGATATATGAGCCTGGAGCTCAGAGAAAAGGTGTGCACTATAGACCTAAATTCTGAATCAGCTGTGTTTCAACCTGAGCTCTTGAGGAATTCCAAATTTGACAGTTTAGAAGAGGACATTGGGCATGTGAAGCAAACAAAAGAAAGCCCAGAGGAAGAAAACCAACAGAGTGTTGTATCTCGAACATCAAGAAAACAGGCTGCTTCAAGTAAAGAGTGTTCAAAGCTTTGCAAGCTGCCGCAAGTCACTGGAGGCCTGGGCAGAAGCTTTGTACGGAGGGAAGGCTGGGCAGAAAGCCCTATTGGAAGCAGTTGAAGAATGAGTTTGGGGAAAAAGAGAGAGTGTAGATAATCTCATTTTTTCATTCATGAAATATTACTGAGGCTTTGCTATATGGCAGGAAATGACTAGGAACTGACAATGTGTAGGTGAACAAAATAATCTCGGTTTCCAAGCAGCTCACAACCTGGTCAAATGTCTCAAATGAGTGCAATTACTACATTTATTTCTTCTTCATTAATTAATTGCAGATTCCTTGAATCTGACTTTACAGCCAAGAAACTGGTAAAACTGCTCTCTGAAGTTTCCAACCAGAACATTATCACATTTCTTTAATTTTCATCTTCACTGTTACCTGGGAATATTAATATTACTTGTTACATTTTTCCTAGAAAATTTTATTACATTGTTTCTCCTTTATTTTTTCAATAACTTATTTGCTTTTTTCTAGTCTCTGTCCCTCCCCTTACTACAGGTGTTCCACAAAATTTAGTTTTGGATCTCTTGCTGATGTTGCAATAAGTACTCTTCCTCAGGAAATACACCCATTTTTTTCTGATTTTAATTATAATACTGCGGAGATATGAGAAAGAACAAATGCCTATTAGTGGTAAATCTTACTCTATTCAGATATTTGCTTTCCACCAGAGGTATAGATTCCTTTCTGAAGTATCAGTGCAGTTTCTCAGAGTAAAATTGACTTACTTATATGTTATTTTTCGTTTTTCTGACTACTAGTGATGCTGGGTATATTTTTTTTTTACAGGTTTACTGACTACTTTGACTTCTTTGAATAACTCTTAGTGTTCATTGCCATTTTTATTTTATTAGGCCAATAAGAAGAATATCCTAAAGATGACTTGCCTTTGGAATAGAAATACATCATTGGCACACGCTGGACTGAACGAAAGAGCCCATATGATAATGTTATGTCTCATCTATCCTGGAAAATCTTATCATCTCTTCAAACATGAGTTTCCTACAGTTCATTTTATGTTAGACCTTTACATCTCTATTCTGTATCTCAGTGTCTTTCTCCTATGTTTACTCATTATTTGCTTGTGCAGCCTTTGACCATAAAATTTAGTTTTCAGATTCATTAATTCTCTCTGCGGCTCTGTTTAGTTTGGAATATGTCCTAGATAGTCAATATTATAATACTTTTAATAATTTTATTTTTTGTACTTTTAGGTCTAGTTATTTCAAATGTTTCTTTTTATGTTCATCTTTTAAATACATATTTAATTATTTTGTTATTCCCTATTTACCTGTATTTGGCTGTTTTGCCTTTTTCTTTTTAATTTTCTAATAATTATCTCATAATTTTAAAGAATAATTTTGATATGATTTTCCTGTTTGCATGTCATCAGAACTGAATTTATGTTCTGAGTGTTACTATGATGGATGGGCTGCTCTCTCATAAAGTTCTCCCTCTGTGCTTTGATATTCATTTGTGAGTTCGTGTAGAGGAACTGTTCCTCTCTCCACCTAGTTCTTCCTCTTCGGCAGTAGCTTGCTCATCTCTTCTTGGTCCCAGGAATCCTGAGGGCAGAACCAGAGAATGGCTCATCTCTGGTACAGTCCAAAATTCTCATTATTTTTGGTTCTTTCTTCATAGCAGCATTCAAGGGAATGTTTGGCTTCGTTTTGCAGGCTCCATGGCTTCATTTCATCTCAGGTTTCTTGTAATCCTGCCCCCACTTTCTTTACACACACAGGTGAATCTGCTAGTGTGTCTACCAGTGAGGCGGGAGTCCTCGATTCTCTGGGCGGGGGCCTCCTTGTATCACTGTGTGTTTCTAGTCAGTTCCATAAATGTAAACCTCACTCTTTGAATAGGTTATATATTTTTCATGTGCTAACAGTATTATTTATTTGGGGTAAGTTTAAAACTGAGGGAGGAATTTAAAGCCTTCCTGGTCTATTCTAGAAAGGTAAACCTCATTCTTTGAATAAGGTATATATTTATCATGTGCTAACAATATTATTAATTTGGAATATGTTTAGAACTGAGGGAGGAATTCAAAGCCATCCTGGTATAAAGTCATTAAGGATTTCCTGACAAACAGAATATGTACATTTTTCTTTATAATTGCTATGGTTCGGGAATGGCCTTTCACATAGCAAAATCATATCCCAACCAAACAAGTTTTCTTATAGTTTTAATGACTTTATTTTAAAAAATTTTATTCTTGCCCAGCTGGTGTGGGTCAATTATTGAGCACTGACCCATGCACCAAGAGGTTGCCAGTTCTATTCCTGGTCAGGGCACATGCCAAAATTGTGGGCCAAATCCCCAGTGGGGAGCATGCAGAAGGTGGCCAATGGATATTCTCTCTCATTAATGTTTCTATCTCTCGCTCCCTCTTCTTCCTCTCTCTCTAAAATCAATAAAGAAAAAATATTTTTAAAAATTTATTCTTCAGTCTGTGTTGAAGTTATCTTGCTTATATACTGTAAAATGTTTGGTTGCATTTTTCAAAAGCCTCACATATCTAAACACTAAATTAATGTTACTCATTAATTTGAAAAATTGCGTCTAAATAATTCTAAGTATAAGAACGATTCTGTTGATCTAATTATTACTATATCAGTACTACATTCTCCTAAATATTATTCCTTTATAATTTTTTGCTTTTTAAAAAATAATACCAAATGTTTCCTTTTTATAGTCTTCTCTTTATCTATTTATTGCCCTCTCTTACTTATTTGTTCTTCAAAAAAAGAGAAAGGAATTATTTAACCAAATTCCAAACAGATTAAGTTGAGCTTACATTTAATTAATTACTTGAGTTACCTGTGAAAAAAATAAATTTTTATGCAATTAAACCTTTTCATCTGATAATATGGTATACTTCTCTCTGCTTAGCCCTACGGTGCAATTCTATAGTTTTTAAAAGTATTTTTTAATATTGCTAATTTATATTAGTCTTTCTTTTATTATTTAATTTTTAATAATAAGCATTTGACACTTTATAGAAACAGTACCCTTGGGATAAAATAACAAATGCTTATTATTAAAAATTAAACAATAAAAGAAAGTATTAAAAAGTAAATAACAGACAGTACTACCTTACCATAAATAATCACTCCTAATATTTAGTAAACATAATTTCAGTCACTTATTTCTACAAACTTACATGTTGAGGTATAGACAGGCAGACATGAAAACCAAATTAATAACATAAAAAATGGTAACATGCTGAAAATAAAAAAAAAGGTAACATGCTGTATATAGATTTTAATACAAATATCACATTACATTTAATTTGTTTTTCTTTTTCTTTTTTGGAAGAAAAATATGCGGATGTGAAACTGGAATAACCTAAATAGTGTTTTACCAAGAAAATATGTTACTGCCTAAAATATTTCTCTTAGGTGAAGTTAAAAAAAATATGTTAAGAACATAATGAGTTAGGATCATTCGGTTGTTCTGTGCACCCTATGTATCCTTGTTAATGTTAATTGACCTCTTGCTCACAAATATTGATCTCTAGTTCTTGGATACTTTCTTTTTCTCTCCTTCCCCAATCCAGATATATGATGCTTTTTCAAAATGTATCACATCTAGATTTCATTCTGCAAACACAGCACCTGTTATTTTATTTAAGTTCTATATTTAAAATGAATCTTAGTTGCACACTCAGTTTAAACCGTGGTTTCTTCTTTTCTGAGACATATATTTTGATTCAACTGACTTAACTCGACAAGTGTTCTCAGTAGGGACCCCTGGGTGGTATTTCCCTGAGTTATTTCATCTTTAGAATGTCTGTCTATTGATTTATACCTTGAATGACAATTTGACTAAGCACAATACTCATGGATCAAATTGTCTTCTCAAAACTGGGAGACATTGTTCAGTTTTCATTGGCATGGAAAATTGCTGTGCCAAGGTATGAAGCTAACTCTATTTTTCTCTTCTTGTTCCTGATCTTTTTTCTTTCTGCCAAATTCCAAAACAATTTTATTTTTAAATTTGAAAAAAAAAATGATATGTATCTTTATTAATTGTTTTGTATTTTTTCTTTTCTGTTTGAATGCAAGTTATTCTTCCTATTTTTACACGTGGCACATTTCATTCTTTCTCTAGTTTAAGGGAAATGTCACTCTATTATGCCTCTCAATATATTTTCTGTTCAAAATGTCAAGTTTCCTGTTGTTTTTTTCATTATATGTGTCT